ATACTCTGTATGAGTCAGATTTTCCTTGAAGAGTGGTTAAATCTCTGAGGGGCTCTAACAAGTGAAATGTGGCTTCCTAAGTTTTGAGGTCCACTGAAATTGGTCTGACAAGACTTGTAGTTGGGTAATGATGTGAACACTGATTTTCCTGACCTCTCTGGTCTTTGCCACCTTACGCACATGCTTGCCAGAAGTAGCCAAAAGAAACAAAGGCTCTTTCAGTTTAAGTGAAATGGGATTAAAAATAGTGTTTTGTCGAACAATTCATAGGTTTCTGTTTAGAAAAAACTTGAAATAATCCGGTGTACTTTCAGAATACAATTGAGAAATGTTACAAGTTGTGAGGGCCCTTCCGGTGACTTGGTCCAATCATTTTTATTGTATACTTGTAAAAATAACAGCTTTATTGAGACAATGATTCATTCGGCGTAAAACTCGTACTTGTAAAGTGTACGGTCGGGTATTTTTTAGTATGTTCACTGACTTGTGCAGCCGTCATCACTGTCTAGTTCTAGAACATTTTCCTCCCCCAGAAGAAACCTCATTAGCAGTCAGTCCCTCTTCATTCCCTCCTGCCCACCTCCTGGCGGCCACTGACCTCCTTCCTGTCTCTATGATTTTGCCTATTGTGGACATTTTGTAGGAATGAAATCATGTATTAGGTGGCTTTTTATGCCTGGCTTTTTCCACTTAGCAAAATGTCCTCAAGGTTCACCCACAATCTCGCACGGGTCAGTATTTCATTCCTTGTTTGGCTGAATGACATTCCATCGTGTGAATATAGACCACATTCTGTTTTTCAGTTCATTTCATGAACGCTTTGGGCTGTTTCCATTATTTGGCTGTTTAAATAATGTTGCTGTGAATATTCTTGTACAAGTTTTTACGTAGATGTGGTGTTTTCAGTTTTTTCAGGCATAACTCCTAAGAGTGGGATTGCTCAGTCATTCGCTAACTCTGTTTACCTTTTTGAGGAGATGCCAAACTGTTCTCCCAAGTGGCTGCACCATGTCACAGTCTCTCAAGCAATGTGTGAGGGTTCGTTTCTCTACATCCTGGCCAACAGTTGTAGGGTGTTTTGGGGTTTTTTGTTTAGCCATTGTAATACAGACATGCAGTGCTATCCCATTATGCTTTTGATTCGCATTTCCCTAGAGACTAAGGATGTTGAGCATCTTTTCCTGTGCTTATTCAACATTTGTATATTCTCTTTGGAAAAAATGTCTATTCAAGTCCTTTGCTCATTTTTTTAGTTGACTTTTTAAAAAAATTATTGAGTTCTTTATATATTCCGGATGCTAGACCCTCACCTGCTACATAATTTGCAAGTATTTCCTCTCACTCTGTGCATTGTCTTTTCACTCGGTGTCTTTAGATGCACAAGAATTTTCAATTTAGATGATGTCCAACTTATCTTTTTTTTCTCTTTTGTCTGCAACGCTTTTGGTGTCTTATCTAAGAAACCATTGCCTAATCCAAGATCACAAAGATTTCCTCCTGTGTTCTTCTGAGAGTTTTATAGATTTAGCCCTTATATTTAGGTCTTTGTCTCATTTTGAGTTAATTTGGTATGTGGCATTAGGTAAGGGTCCACTGTCTTTCTTTTGCATGTGGATATTTAGTTGTCTCGGGCACCATTTGTTGAAAATATTGTTTTTTTCCTCCTTGAGTTGTCTTGGCACCTCTGTTGAAAATGAATTGGCCATGGATGCAAGGGTATCTGTGTGGACTCTGAATTCTGTCCCCTTGGTCTGTATGTCTGTCTTTATGCCAGTACCACACTGTCTTAATTATTGTAGCTTTGCAGTAAAATTTTGAGATCAAGAAGTGTGAGTCCTCCAACTCTGTTCTTTTTAAAAATTGTTTTGGCTATTCTGGGTCCCTTACAGTCCCACATGCATTTTTAGATTTAGCTTGTCACTCTCTGCTGTGGGGTGATGGAGTGGGGGAGACTGCTGGGGCTTTATAGGGGTGTTGCCTGTAGTCTGTACATTAATTTGGAGAATACTTCTGTTTCCACATGAAATCTTTCCATTTCTTTAGGTTTTCTTTAATTTTTCAACAGTGGTTTACAATTTTTAGTTTAGAAATCTTGCCATCTTTTGGTTAAATTTATTCCTGAGTACCTTATAATTTTTGATGATACTTATGTAAATGGAATTGTTTCCTTAATTTCATTTTGGGTTGTTCATTGCTGGTGTGTAGACATACAGTTGATCTTTGTGTTTGTTCTTGTGTCCTGAGTCCTCACTACACTTGTTTATTAGCACTGATAGTGGTTTGTGGATTCCTTAGGATTTTCTGCGTACAAAGTAATGCCATCTTTGAACAAGAAAAGTTTTACTTCTTTTCAATCTGGATGCCTTTCGTTTTCCTTGGCTAATTACCCTGGCTGGAACCTTCAGGAGAAAGCTTCCCAGAAATGGTCAGGGTGAACATCCTTGTCTTCTTCCTGATCTTATGGGGAAAGCATCCACTCTCACCGTTAAGTATGATGTTAGCTGTGGCTTTTTCTATAGGTGCTCTTTATCAACTTGAGGAAGGTCCCCTCTATTCTTAGTGTATTGAGTGCTTTTAACGTGATGAGGTGTTGGATGTTGTCAAATGCTTTGCACAGGCGATAACCATGTGGTTTCTGTCTGTTCGTTCTATTAATATGGTGTATTATTATGTTGGTTCATTTTCAGATCTTAAACTATTTTTGTATTCCTAAGATACAGTTCCTTCCTTTTATTAAAATACTCTTTATTCTAGAGCAGAGAAAATGACTTTCAGTTCTCCCTTCTGACTTTTCCAGTTTATTTAGATAATTTGCTACAAACTGTTTTTTTTTTTTTTAGTGATTGACTAGAAAACAATGTTCAGATTTTTCTGCTTTGTCACATTTTTTTTAAAGATTTTATTTATTAATTTGAGAGAGAGAGGGAGAGTCCAGAGGGAGAGGGAGAAGCAGACTCCCCGCTGAGCAGGGAGCCCGACGCAGGACTCGATCCCAGGACCCTGAGATCATGACCTGAGCTGAAGGCAGACGCTTAACCAACTGAACCACCCAGGCGCCCTGCTTTGTCACATTTTATACAGTCCACTCATAATTTGGAGAAACTCAATTTCGAGTGCTTTTAAGATTATAGTGTCTCTAGTTTAGAACCTTAGTATATTTCTTACAGGTGGTTTTCCATTTTTTTATGTTTGGTGGAGGCTTATAATTCACTTCTATCAGTTCATGTCTGGTTTCTGAAAGAGAACTTTTGCCTTTGGTGATCTGCTTTAAAAAGACAGAAATGCTATACACACGCATGTTTATTTATTTGTGTCTGTTAGTAGAAAATTTTCCACTTTTTTATATAAATGTGTAATGTTTTTCACCCTAAGAAGCGGAAATTCTCTGATTTATCTGACATGCTCATTAGACTTTTTGTCCTGGGAGAGTAGATAGTACTTCTAAGTCTGAATATATAGTAAAGCATCTTAAGTTTTTTTGAGTGTGATTTTCCCAAAGCCTCTTGTCACTGGATTAATTATCTGTGTTACTGTTGGAGCTCCTACAGTAGATATGCATGCACTCTGGCATGCTGTGGAGCATGAGGTAAATGGTGTGGCCAGTGCCCTTGATACATGTCTTACACGTTCACGGACAGAGGAGAGAATGGGTCTGGCCATGGTGGGAAAGGACCTGGGTGTGTTGAAGCAAGTGACCTTGCCCAGTGGTGGAGGCAGACGCTCCTTAGAGTGGGCTCCAGAAGGAGTGGGAAGAGAGGAGGCAGAGACCGTGAGGACAGAGCACTGTCCAGCTCTGCGTTAAAGAGGATGAAGTGGAGATCAGCTTTTTTTTTTTTTTTTTTTTTTTTAAGATAAGCGATTACAGTATTTCTGTGTGAAATTAGGACTCATCTGTAGAGGGGGGAAAAAGGATGGTGCCGCAGAGAGCGGGAAGGTTGTCTTTGGAGCAGAGTCCTCGAGGGGTCTAGGTGGGACGGGGCCTCCTGGTGGCGCGACTGTGCGGAGGATCTGTTCTGGGCGCTTCTGGTTTGAGCGAAATAGGCAGAATCACTAGCAGAGTGCGGCGGGGGCTGGCGCACAGGAAGCGTGGGCAGAGGACGAGGTGTGCAGAGATGGTTGCCCGGGGGTCTGGGGGCGCCGCCAAAGGCCGTGGAGGCCGGGGAGCGCGAGCAGAGCACCGCCGTCTGAGAAGGCTTCGGGGCAGCTCCGGGCTTGGAGGCCAGGGCTGGGGAGGGCTGGGGAGGGCGGGCCCTTGAGTCAGACTCGGGGAAGCCCAGGACCCGGTGGGGATGGGAATCCGGGACAAGGTAGACCTCAGTAAACAGGATGTGGGGGAGGCGCGGCGCGGTGCGCTGCTGACAGAAGACACGCACGTATGGGGTGCACATTCCCCAGGGCCCTCCTCCCCTTGGAAGTATTCACACCGGATTAGATCCCCCTGCTTTTGGACTTGATATAAAGGGGATCCCACTGTAAGTGCTCCTCAGTATTTTCTTGGTGAGATTAATCCATTTGGTCGGTGTGTAGCTGAAATCCGCTTCCATGGCTGGGTGGTGTCACCCTGTGAATGCTCCACCATGGGAGCATCTTTCTCCTGTTGGTGGGCACGCGAGTGGTTTCTTCTCTGAATGCGCCGCCGCCAAGTGCCGTCGCACTGACCGAGCGCCCGTGTGGCTGGTGGCCTGTGTCTGCAGTGGGGTTTCTGGGTCATGGAATGTGTGGCTGCCGAGCTTTGGCGGGCATGGCCCGTCCAAGTGCTGGTGCCCTCCCCCCCCCCCCCCCGCCACAAGCGGTGTGTGAGGCTGTCCCCCATCGGGCTGGCGGACGTGTGGTGGTTTTCACTCACACTGCTTGAGACCCTTACTGGCCGGGGATCCGTTCTGATGAGGCTTTAAGGGGAAGTAGGTGATTGGCTTTCATCATGAGCCCTTCTTGAGACTGGTTTTCACGAGGTCCTGGCAGTGAGGGGAGAAGGTCAGGAAGGGGACAGCGGTCTCAGGAGGAGCGTGTGCACAAGTCTGGGTCTCCCCCACGTCCTGCCAGTGCTCTTGGGGTCCACGGAGCTTCCTTACCAGGAACAGACAGGTCCCTGGCCAGAAGGTGGCATTTAAATTAGCCTCCACAGCTTGAGCTACCTGGAGAGAGGAGAGAAAAAATTAAATGGCTGGTGACTGTATCTCCCTCATCATTGTTGTGGTTTCATTTTGTTTTGACAATGACTCAGCAATTTAGGTGGTAAGTTCCGATTCCATGTGTTACTTATTTGGTAAACAGATGAGCTGTGATAGTTGGGTATTGATAGGGCCTTAGACAGGGTGGTGATGTGATTCGAGCCTTCAAGAATGTTCCTCTGCTTTGTGCAGCTAGAACTCTGATGGGCAGCGCAGGACACGGAGCGGGCCACTTGGGAGGCTGTCCCAGGAATTCAGCCTGACATGACGGTCCCGTCGGACGTAGGGTGGTGAAGTAGAGGAAATGAAATTTTCACACTTGCATGTTAGTTTTGAAAAGCTTAAAAGTTTGGGAAAGTACAAGACTGATACAGCCAACTCCTGTGTACTCCGCACGCACCCGAATCTGCTGCTGGAGCTGTCTCTCCCCATCCCTTCGGTTGGACCCCAGGGCCTGACACTGTGTCACTCCTCGCTCACTCTTAACCTGCTTGTCTCTCTGAGCCCCTGTCCTCCTGGCAGAACCCCACTCCCCAGCTGCCTGCCGAGCAACTCCAGAAGCTCCGCTGAAGGGGTCGTTTAAAGTTACTCCGTTCACAGAGATGTCGGTCCCCGGGAGCTCTGGGTCCCCAGCACCCAGGGCACTGCCCGGCCTACAGTAATCACTCAGTGTGTTTGCTGAATTTTAAAAAAATAAGCTGCTGCCCTCAAATCTCACATGGGCAGTGATACCGTGACACAACCCTGCATTTCTCTGGTGTGGTTCCCTCCTGTTCCAAGAACACTTCCTTCACTCACCCCCAACATCACCTGTGCTCTGAGCAGATGAATCTTCTCTCCTGCCCCCTAGAAAGAAGAGCTGCCGTCTGATGAGACCACTTGTCAAGCCCAGGTCCACTCATGGCTCTCCTGTGCGGTGCACTCCCTGGCCACCCCCCAACACACACCCCCCAGTGCAGGTGCCCCTGCACCCACCTGGCCGCTAACCCAGCTCTCCTGTGTCATCAGCCCGCTTCAGCTATGCTGTGCCGTGGGCATGTGAACGTGACTTTATGTTCTCCATCTTTTAATGCCTTGTTGACGACGTTTTCCCTCCGGGCCCCCTCCCCCCCCATGTCTTGTTCCTGCTTCCTTATGTTGCATGCAGTACGCCCTCTTAGATCCAGCGCCTCTTATCACCTGCCCCCTGCCAGCCATGAAGCATCCTCAGCAGCCCCTGAGTAATGTCTTATGCTGCTAACTTCCGATTTCCTGGTTTTATTTTGAACAGTAAGTACTGACTTCCCGTTATGGTAACTGATGATTTAGCTTTTTTTGCTAACACCCCCTCCCCCCCACATCCCCCCCCCCCCCGGAAAAAAAAAAAAAAAAAAGAACAGGAAAGAAAGTTGAGAGGATTCTGTCAGGAGTCTCAGTTCCCTCTGCACTGTGCTGACGGTTCGTTACTGAACTGAAGTATACATTTTCTTTTTCATACAAATTTCATTTTCCCCAGAGCTAACGATTGCCTAGTGGCTCCACACGCTTGGTTCTGTCTGGTGCGTGTGAAGAGACACTGCGGCAGCCGTGCTGCGCGCCTCGCCCTGCGGGCCCCAGACACAGTGGGCGCCGTCCCTCCGGCCGCCCTGTCCCCCGACGACGTCCCCCAGCCACGACTGCCGTTCCAGAGCCATTGGCCCCTGTCCTGTCTTCACCAGCGTTGGCATGTCAGGTCCCCCATCTTCCTTTGCCTTGGTTTATTCTCATTTTGCCAAATTGCACCTTACAGTGGTTTGCTGAGAACGGGGTTTTAGTTGTGTGGTTTGTGCCTTTTTTTTTTCTTTTTTTTTTTTTGCATGTTTGAAAATATCTTTATTGTCCCTTTTAAACGCGATTGAAAATTTGGCTAGGTGTAGAATTAGGGGTTGAAAATTATTTGTTCTCGGAATTTTGAGGTTGGTAGGTATCCCAGCCACCGTTTTCCAGCGTCCTGTCTGTTGCCATCTGATTCCTTTGGTTATGACCTGTTTGTTTTCTCTGGGAAGTTTTAGAACCCCCCTTTATCCTCGGTGTTGGAGTTTTCTTAGTGAGGCGCCGTAGGAGAGGGTCTGCTCCAGGGTCAGGCCCCTGCCCTGGGACACACTCATCTTCGTCCTCGGACGTCTGCGTCACTTCCTTTCTCTTGTCTTTGCGGAGCTTCCATCCCGACCCTCTGGTCATCTTTCCTCTCTTATCCATCTCTCTGTCTTTTGTTCTGCCCTTGGGAGGACGTGTTGAGTTTGGAAATTACTGCCCTTTGAATTTCGAAGCGCACATCCTTGTTTTTCCTTTCTCTGTAGTAGCATGCAGCCCATCCTCCAGGAAGCCGCTGGATGAAGTGGCTGGCAGCCTGTGCCATGACGACAGGCGGAGGCTGCCACCTGGGTGAGCTGGATACCGTGCCCAGGGCCTGCTTCTCCCTCAGACAGGGATGACAGGAGCCCTGCTTCCTAGGCTGCTGGAGGTTTGCTAGCTTCACACGGGGCCGTGCTCCGTTAGAACAGCACCAGGGCCCTGGCAGGCGCCCAGCCAACATTGCTGAGGTCATTCCTGTTGGCAGGCATTAGCTCCCTGAGGACATTAATTGTTGTTTCTTTGACATTTTGTTGATGCACTGTCCCTCTTTCCTCCAACTTCCTTGTTTTGGTGTTTTCTCTCACCTGTCTGCAGACCCTGAGTGATTGGTTCATGTCTAAGATGCAGCCACTTTGGAGCCAGCAGGCAGTTCCGTGAGCAGGTGGGCTTTCCAGCTGGAGGGCTTCCCTGTGGTTGGTCATTTCTTTTTTTTATATATATTTTTTTTTCTAAGATTTTATTTATTTATCAGAGAGAGAGAGAGAGAGAGAGAGAGAGAGGCAGGCAGAGGGAGAAGTAGGCTCCTTGCTCAGCAAGGAGCCTGATGTGAGACTCGATCCCAGGGCCCTGGGATCATGACCTGAGCCGAAGGCAGATGCTTAATGACTGAGCCACCCAGGCATCCCGGTTGGTCATTTCTTTAAGGACCCCAAGTGTTTGAATCTTGAGGCCTTTTCTCCGGAGATTTATCATTTCGGAGAGGAGCCCTGGAGATGGTGGGAATCCTTCACTCGTGGCAGCTGGCGTTTGGGAAACAGGAAGGGGAAGTAACTGTGTGTTCCCACCTGGCAGGATGGGGATAAGCTTGGGGACCCAGCAGTTTGGGAAACTGACCTTCTGCCATCTCCATGCCCAGCACCTGGTGTGTAGCCTGGCCGAAGCCCTCGGCAGGTTGAGACATCACCCCTGCTTAGACTGTCACCTACCATGCCTCCGCCCCTTGCCGTCACCTGCGCGGCAAAGCCTGCCCACCATTGTTGCTTTGTGGACGGACACCTTTCAGCTCTCTTCGGCACCTTCGTGGTGGTGGGAGGGAAAGGCCCGTGCCCACAGTGGACCACACTTGACAGAAAGTCTGAGCTGGGTTCTTAGGGGTTACCAGGTGTGTGTCATGGTTTCAGAATCTGACTTAGACATTTACTAAGTAAGTTCTGCATCAGCCCAAGGACCCCTCCCAGCAGAGTGCCTCGGCGCAGACAGTGCAGTAGCGCACGGGAGCCTTGCGGCCACTGCACAAATACAGTGTCGCCGCCCATGGCCAGCAGGTGCTGACGTGGGCCCTGCGCAGGGACCTCTGGTTGCTCACACAGCCGGGGCGGTGTGCCTGAGCCCTTGTGCGGTCCGTGGCAGGTGTAAAGGCCCCACTGGGTGCCCTCAGTCAGTACCATATTTTCGCTCTAGCATGATACCAGTTTTGTAAAGTAATGGCCATCACATTAAACTCATGTTGGTAATTTAAATTTCGTTGGTATTTAGTTTGTATATTTATTTTGACTTTAGAGCTCTTCTCAGCTCTGCAGACAACATTTTCTAATTTTAGATTCATACATATTTGCGCAACTTAATGACAATAATTTCTCACCAGTGGTAGTCATGGGAGTTTCTCTTTTAAAAGATTCGGCCCTTTTTAATTAAGTTTAAAAATCACTGACAGAGCTAGAATGCCATTAATTATATAATACCGTACACCCCCTGGGTATGGATGACAGAGACGTAGTCCCATTTAGTCCAATACAGAATATTTCATTTAAACAAATTGGTTTATTTTGAGTAATTTAATTTAAAAAGTGGCACTTCTAACAAGAAGCCTAATCCTTTTTACAGCTGTAACTGAAGGGGTGTTTTTGTTTTTGTTTCTTAAAAAAAAAAAAGGAAACCAAAGGAAAGACATCCCAGGCAAAACAATTCAGTGTGTGTTTAAGTCGTACACAGGGGACGCCTGGGTGGCTCAGTCGGTTACGCGGCTGCCTTGGGTTCAGGTCATGATCCTTGGGCTCCCTGCTGGGCGGGGAGTCTGCTTCTCCCTCTGCCCCTCCCCCTTCTCCTGCTGTCTCTCACTCTCTCTCTCTCAAACAAAAGCTTTAAAAAATTAAAAAGTCGTGCACAGTGCAGGTGAGAGCTTGTATCGCAGGAAGTCCTGTGTTAACAACTATTTGACTAAAATGTGCACACCTTTAAGAGTTGTATTACATTATGGCAGTTTCGGGAGTGGCGAGGGGAGTTTTTCAAGTACTTTCAGTGTTGGGGTCTGTTTCCGAGTATTGGACAAGCTGTTCCAGGAGCTGTGTAGCAGTACTGGTCTAAATACTCCTGCTGCTTCCGTGGGGCCCTGTGTGTGCAGAGCACGCACCTGCGTCCGCCAGTCGGACAGGCCCTTTGTGTTGGTGCTCCAGCAGCTGGTGCGTTTGTGCTGAACCTGTGTCCTCTCCTCCCAGCAGCCAGAGATGAGATTGTCTGGGCAGCTGACGAAGGTGAAGAGTCCCTGGACTGGATGGAGCGGGCTGACAGCAGCCCATGCGGGACTAAACCCACGTCCTTGTGCTGGTTCCACCCGCACTCTGTGCCCCCGAGCAGGAGAAAACTGTCTTTTC